GAACCCCAAAATCTTCAATTTACAGACCTTTGAATTTATCTGCTCTCACCTTATTTTACATGTAAGGAGATTGTGGTCTAGAATAATTAAATGACTTATTTATAGTCATAAAGCTAAATAGGAAAAAACTAGGGCTAGAGCTCAAGTCCATGCTATCTTCATAATAGGATGATACACAGATTTATGTTCATTGAAACAAACAAGAATCTAGGGGAAAAAAAGTTATAGTTCTAGAACCGAAGGAAAAAACTTCAGTTAAGAATGTTTTTGTATGCTTCATAGATTCTTTATAGGTGTATTATATATAAACATTTGTATTTGGATGTTAATTCAGTAAAAAGATCATTGATTAGAGTTTAAATAATTGGCAAACAATGTTTTCTGAAAAAAATAGTAATTCTTGAGTATCTCTGCTTAGAAAGTCACGTTTAGTTGTTAATTTTCTATATATATGCATATCACTCTTATCTGTTCAAGGCTCAAATGTAATCTCCTATGTGAAGTCTTTGCTAATACCCACCATCCACTCCCCTGCAACTGTTTTAGTCACTCAGTATATAAAGCATGTAGAGTTGTAATTTTTTTTCTCCCCCACAGGCTAGTGAGTTTGGTTGAGACAGACCGTTTTGGTTAGAACAAATACTCATTTTTCTGTGCCTAGTCTTTCTACCTGTTAGATATTAGATGAGCATCCAGTTTATTTACCATTCGAGTAAATGGATGAATAGTAGGCATTCAGTAAAAACAAAAACAAACAAAAATCCCGCACACTTCCAGAAGATGTCCTGGGCACTGAAATTCCTTCAGCATATTTTTTAACCAACAGCTTCACACCTATGCTACACACAGTTGAAACTGATAGAATGGTGGCTACAAATCACTGAAGATCAAATGAAGATTAAATTACTATTCTTATATGCCTTTATTTAAAAGTTATATGTAGAATAGGGGAATGAAAACTAGAGATTGGAATTTGAATTTAACAATTTAAAGGCCTTTTAGCTTGTTTTCTAATATATACAGACAAGATTTGGTAGAATAACTTAGAAAACAAGTGATGCTTTCTTGTTTTTGAATAAAGCTTACCAGTTCGGAAAACAGAATGAAATATATCTTAGGAAAGTAACATAAATCTTTTTTTACTGATTGATAGCTCTATGTTCTACATCAATGACCAGATTTATTTGAAAGGTTAAGTTTATGCCTTTT